TCAGAACAGAGCTGACAGGTAGACTAACAGCCTAATCTAACTTTCATAATTAGAAAGGGCTTAAAAGCAGGATCTGTAATCTGACCTATTTCCGCAAGAGTAAAATATACAAACTCATGATTGGAATGACTTTCATAAGTAGAGCATTTACATTTGTTTCGTTAACCATACTCCAAGATTATAACGAACCAAAACATATGGTTCATATTGTAGGCCCATAACGGAAAACTAATTTACAGGATTGGATCGTATTTTATATTCCAAAGGCGGGATCAAAACAAATTCTATATTCTAGGATTAGAATGGAGCTTTAGAGTGGATATTGTCAACTAACTTATATCCTATGATAAGAAGACATGGAAACCTGACCTGCAAACTTGTTTACAGAATAAGGACGACAAAGCCCCTTTTGAGCTAAAAGTATTAACTGACCTAAGTTCTATAGTAAAAATATATCTCGCAGGATCTGCATATATTTTCTTTACAATTCATCATTAGAAAAAATTAATAGATTTAAAGGAACCTTTCATCTTGTCATTTACTTTGTGTTAGTAAATATGGGAAGAAATCTGAGCTATATTTTCACCACATTAAGAACGTCAATATATGATATTACATTGCATTAATTATAACTCATGTTGTATGTGCCAAACCTTGGCGTTCTGTTAATCTTTATTAAAGTTTCCTGTCTTTTAAATACATATCATTTGAAGAAAGCTATTGGTAACTATTGTCCAGAAATCCTTAAATCTATTAACATTTAATACATTTCATAAAATGTTAAGAAAAAAAAACGACCTTTATACTTTATATGTAAATGTGTAGATCTCTTCAGTTTGCACAACAAATTTTGGAAGACGACAAAAAATGTAATACCTCTACTCCTAATTTTTGATGTTCCTCTAAACATATTGATTGATTGTTTTTTATTATGGTAAGGGTACAGTGGAACAACTCTTTAGTTTTATATCCTACTACATTGCAAAACTCTTCTACCTACGAATATTTTTTTTCACAATTTTAAGATCAATAAACAGGTGCATATTCAAATTAGGACCAGCAAGTTATTATCGTATTTAGTCAGTCTCATAAACAGTTTTAATTTCATTGGTCTTGACCAGTCAGATTGAATTTGGATGCAAACAACAGTGGTGTGTATAATGTAGATTTAATATCATTTCATTTTAAATTGTTTATTAATGTCTGTATTTTTCCGCATATTCAAGTTCGAGATAATGAAATTTTATCCCTTTGAGAGGAAATATAATTTTTCCACGAGGTCGGATTTTGTCTTATCTCGATCTGTATATTGCGAGGTTTCTGTATCATTTTATAATTATCATTAATTGAGTTTATTTCGCAATCGATCAATTTTGTCATTAGCTGGTATATCACTCCGCAACAAAGTGCCCATAAAAACCGTGTATAGTGACGACCGCTTCAAGAATAGAGTGATGGCTTAAAATCAACCAATGTTAACAAAGAATAGGCTTTTTGTGGCTAGCAACTTGACTAAGAGGAGAGAATCACGTTCATGTACTATTTGTTTTCTACGATTATTCTTTGATCTCCTCCGCGAGCTATCACGTGCACTGTTCTCTTCATGAATTAAATCAACATTCATAATTTTTATGTGTATATCATTTCTAGGCTAAAATAAGGAATTAACGAGTAACCCACATCAAGATCTTAGATCTTTGTTTATTTTGTTTAGTTCTCAATATTGTTGAAAACAAGGGTCGAATAAACGTAAAGGGCATTCATGGAAAAATTAACATCCTTCCAGGTGGCAAAGTATTTTGTCATCAATATTTTATTTATCTATCTGTTTACACTAAATGTAACATTCAAAGTCGTGATTTTGAAGTCTACCAGATTCTGACACTGAACAAACTAATATGTATCCGAAAAAGACCTGGCATGGAGTAATGGTTAGAGTGCTTGACTCGCTCTATGCGGGTCAAAGGTTCAAATCCCATCACTCAATGTGTTCGCCTTTTCAGCCACGGGGTCGTTATGATGTGACGGTTGGTAAAGAGTACCCCAAGAGTTGGCGGAGGGTGATGTTGACTAGCTGATTTCTCTTTAGTCTATTACTTCTGAATGTAACTTTGCGCAAAATTAAACAAAACATAGCATCCGAAAGTCTTATCTACACTATAAATAGATGAAATACCTATGCTACGATTATTCTTCGATAGTAATGAGATAAAAATAAAACACAGAACAAAAGGACAAATAACAGCGATACAAAAATAATTAGAAATTTTACAAAATGAAATTAAAACGCCATATTTACAATCAATTTAGTTAATAATAACAGGTGTGAAATGACAGTTAAATTTTAATTGTACTTCTTACTGTTCACACATCCTATTATGATGTCCGTGATTACAGGATTGACATGACCAACAAATAAATAATTCTTGGCTGTGATATTGTAAGTTTTAAACATGTCAATATCTTTTACTGAGTCGCATTTCTATGTTTATTTTCGATTAGCTAAAACCCAAACAAGTCTTAAAAGAACTTTTCAGAAGCTGCTTGTTTGATATTATGAATTGTTAATTGGATAATATTTCCTTTTCGTCTGTCCACTATGATGAAACAATAATGCATTTTTTTCAGTATTTTCAGCTCCACAGAACTGAAATATGACGATAGTCTATATTTTCGAATGCTAGTGTACTTTTAACAGTTACCCCTTCTATAGACATGTCATGATACTACTACTTTTTGAACAATATATACACTATTAAGTTTTACTAGACGCGACCCGCAAAACATTTGCGGTAGTTTTCATTCCCTTCGCTTGAATTTTCTTTATTCCACCATTTTAACTCACGCCATTTAAGCTTCGCTTTCTTTGAGGCATTATGTGTTAGATCGATAAATTCTATTCTATTTGAAAACAATTTACGCGGTCAGACAAACAAACTCACGTAGACGTAACTTTATTTAATGAAACTACATGTAAAATAAAAAAGATAAAGTGTAGTAATGGTATTAATATTAGTGTACAGAATATGAAACAGTTATGAGCGTTAAGTGTATGACAGGGCTTTACAAGTTGAAACAAAGAAAATTACAAAAAGGAAGAATAAAACCCGTAGTAAAGAAAAAGTAGCTAAAAGGTGTTTATAACAGCCTATGAAATGAACCGAAGCTAAATTATTGCAAAGTAAAGTAAATGTAAAGTTCTAACAAAGGAAAACTTAGCTGAATATGCAGAAACGCCTGAATGCGTGTTCACAAAATTATAAGTATATGGTTTTGAACGAACTGCGCATGAGTATTTTAGACCTAAATAAGTGTACTTATTAAATTGTATTTAGCGTAATGTCAATTTTTAGGAAATTATATGCAGGTTAAGTGAAATACTTTGCAAATAGAGAAAACTAAAATTGAAATCGAAGCTAGTCGTCACATGATGACAACGACATTCTGTCATCGTGTACCATATTCGTTGCATTAAAAAGTTTGACAAGTCATAAAGCAGGTAAAGTAATTCTGAATGGAAAAGCCAATATGTAATACAGACTCATTCCTCTGAAAAAAGCCTTTCTTATATATATATATATATATATGTGTGTGTGTGTGTGTATATATATATATATATATATATATACGTATATTGTGATCACTCCTTTA